TCGGAAGCGTCTCCATCGAGAGGGAAGCAAAATCACATAAGCCTCAGTTCCTCATGAAACCCAGCCCAACCCAGAATATTTGAGGGAAAAAGGCCACAGACTGCCTTGTGCAATGGTCAAGGAATAAAACTAAAGAGTTATCTAAACGATTGCAGTGCAGCATATCCATCTTGGTTTAGTGGTCCTGCTGGAAGACTCACTATTTCAGTACTTTCTTTTGCTCCCATCACATAAAGGATATCCAATGCTATGGCAAGCCTCTGAAAAACTCAACGCTTCAGCAAAGAGTAGAGACAGCGAGACAAAAATATGTGGACCTTTCATCAATTTTTGGTCACAAGGAAGATGAAAGCCTTACGTGCTTACGCTGGCTGAGAAACTGTAGCATTAGGATAATAAAAATGAAACATTAACAGAGCCAGAGTGTTCAAAGGTGTAGCACTAGAAGAAACTGATGCACTATATAACTGAGCAATTCATCAGTACCAAGTGCTTGACACTCTAGAGGGCGCAGCAACGAAGGAGTCAAACTTGTAGTAACATCATGCAATACCACATTAAAACTGACTTTATAATCCAAAATAATTGAATAATATTATTCAATATTGAATACTGATTATTCAAATGATTCTATATTACTCAAAACTCCAAAGGAGTGAAGGCAAAAATGTTATCTTTAAAAATTATACGTAATCCCAACTGCTTTTTATGCAGAAAATCTCTAGGAAGAAAATTCAGATCTCTAAAAAGAATAAAAGAAAGGATAACACATTTCCCTCAATTCAGGAGGAAGAAAATTAGAATATACTGTAAAAAAACAGCAAATAAAAAGCATGACAGTGAAGAGATTGATCCACTGATGTCAATGTCAAGACTCCTCCTAAATTCCAGAGGGTAAGGATTTCACTCACAAAAACTTGTTCACTTAATAGTGCAGTCACTCACAGTGCTGCTGGTGTTGTCAGACCACTACAAGATTAACATCTTTTTATCAGAAGATACAGTCCATCTGAGTGAGGAAAGAAGGGAAATGCACAAAGCTCTTGGGTCATGCAGGCAGTCTCAAAACAATTACTGCATTTATAAAGAGAGTAACATGAATTAGGGTGAAAAAGTGCGCAATTTTGTATGCCTGTGCATGCGAGGGAGAGAGAGAAAACCCCAGAACTTCACTCTTTGCTCAGTACACTAATATTAATTCCGACTCTAAACAATTTTAGCTGACTGCTTACAGTTGCACTACAAAGCTGAAGCTGAAAAGCAAATCGGATTTCTTTGCCCTCTTGGCCTTACCACTGCACCTTAAAGAGACCCCAGAGAAATCATGAAAAGAGAATACAAACTGCGCAGTCATTTTCTTCTGAGGCAATTTTTAAATTAAACAAAAAACAAAACCCAAAGTTTACTCCTTTAAATCATTATTAAAAGAATCCTGCCTGCTAGGGCAATGAGCTTTCCTAACTCTAATCCATCTTTACTGCGGTGTTATTACCCTACAGTTTTTCTGTAATTAAAATGTGGCAGGTAGTTTACACACAAGAGGGAGTAATTGTATTGGAAATAACTGTTCATAATCAAATTTTAAAAGCTCATTTTTCTTATCAACTTTTAATAAAGCAAGCAAGATAATAATGATATTTAGCATTTACAGCAGCGTTTTGTCTCTCTAGATTTCATTCATTTCATTCAACAATGCTAAAACATACCTCTTCAACTTAGGAATGCAGCCTGAAGGAAAAAAAGGGAAAATCGGAACAATTGCAGCCCTTTGCTCCTGTTCATTTAAAATAATAAAATACGGCTGAACCTCATGCTAAAGGACGCAAAGCTTCAGAAAAACTTGTGTGGTTCTGGAAGGAGAACACCAAGTTTGCACGTGCTGTGCTTAGGCAGGACGTGCTTATATCCCCAAATCCAGTAAGTGCAGACTACATACTTCTACCACTCGCTTTTCCAAGACCTGGATGAAGCAGAGTTCCTTTCACCTATATGTGTCATCGGAAAATGAAGTGCTGGATGGTGGTTTCTACCTCAATTAGGTTAGGCCACCTTCAGGGTGCATGTGGGTTTCAACCTAAATTTGTGGCTTTGGTCCAGACACATTCTGTGTTTTGGCTTAAAACCCAAAGGTTTAGAGGTATCAACTTTCACAGAGCTTCCCGCAGCCCCAGAGCAGTGCAGCCCTGATATAAATGAACAGGAGAAATGGTCCTGGCTACAGGAACCAGCTGTGGGACAGGCAGATGATATTTGATGTCCCCTCCGGGCCTGTTATTCATACAGCCTGTGCCTGACAAAGGCTTTTAAAACAAACTGAGGATCGAATAGTGCGTGAGAAGTGAATGTCTGCACCAGAGGATAGAACAGACAGCGACCAACCCACCCCACGCAAGCGTAACACTGCTTTGACAGTCCCATGCAAAAAAGCGATTGCCACACATAAATTTAAGCCTTGAATGTCCAGATAAAAGCAAAACCCAGAATAAATTAGTGATGCTTTGCTTATTAAAAGCCTTGGATTGGAAGCTTACGGTTTAATTTTACAGTTGTCTCCTGGAGCTCCAGCCAGCAGGGCATGCAGAGCAGAGAGAAAGGAAGGTCAGGGCTTGACGTGGCAGTGGAGTGGATGGACGCGGCTACAACATGCAAGAGAAGGCCTGGTGTGTTTTTTTTTTCCCTGAGATTGTCTTGCTTCATCTCCTCCCCCCTTCTTCACTCCCCATTATCAGCATTTAAAACACCCCCGAGTTTCCTTGAGCAGGTTTGCTGTGCTCATTAAAATACTGTGAGCACTTATTGGCTATAATGAGCACTCATTAAATTCTGGTAAGTGCCAGGACTGTTCTGCAGAGTTGAACAGACTCAGGTTCTGGGAGGAGAGCTCAGGGGTAGGAACATACTGAAAATACTACATTTTCCATGAGAACAGAACTACAAACTTTCTCCTCCTTTTTGGCTCCGCAAGCTCTGGGGTAACTCAGACCAGTTAGGCAGCAGCTATTGCTCACTGACTACTTGAATCATTTCCCTGCCCCAGAAGGACTCTCAGCTCCTCTTATCAGAACAGGAACAAATTAAAGATTTTTCCATATTTGCATCTCCTCATTTGAGAATTTTCCTACATTTGTTATTTAGAGATAAAAGCCTGCCTCTAAAAATTCACTTAGCAAAGTGGTTTTCTCAGCCTCAGGGAATGGCGCAGCAGGGATTGCAGAGCAGGATCCAAAGCAGCTGGCGATGCTGCAGGAGCAGCAGCAGATCAGGAGATGATGGGTGCCTATCAAGGCAAGGATCGTATTTTACCTGCCCTGTTCTTATATTTATTTCCAATTGGCTGAGTCAGAGACACTCACCCTGACCAGCGTGGCCATACCTATAACCATAAAGGAGTTTCCACTGCAGGGTTCAGTGCTACTGCCTGTGGTATCACCAAACGCTGTTCATCGCTTAGAAAGCATGAGTTAACTAAAACCATATACAAATATACTGTATTCTGGACTAATCCCCAGTGAATCAGAGGGCAAGCGCCTATTTAAGGAAACAGAATGAGACATGAGCTTCAAGATGAGTGCATCCCCAAAAAAGCCAGAATATATCCTAGTGGGGTGGAGAGAGGCTGATGGAAGGGGGAGGTTTCTGCACGTATTCCCTAGGAAATGACCTTTCTGCAGATGCCTGCAAAATGCAATGCAGGAGAGGGCAGGGAGGTAGAAAGGAGCAGAGAAGTTCACTTGGCTTCCCAAGCAACTTGTAAGGAGACTGAACACCACCACCAAACAGCAGAAAGCATGAGACCGACATATATTCTGAAGAAATAATGTTGCATTCCTGAAAAGTGAGAATCTGAAATCCTATCATTTTGTGCTTGGGCTGATGATAACCATATCACTGCCTGGATGATGAACCTAAAACCAAGTCTTCCATCCCATCAGAAACATCTGTTTTTCAACAACATTAATCCAAAGACTGCAGTTCAGCACAAAATATGTATCAAAATGGCATCAATTTCACAAGATTAAATAACTGGTCTGGTTAAGCATTAATTGCTCCAGTTTGGCTCACTCTTCACACACTCACAGGAGCTTTTTGTGGATTGCTGCTTTATAATTGCTTGCTCCCTAAGCACACATGCATTGCAATCTCCCGCACACCTTGACGGCATCCTGGTTAGAGGAAATGAAGGCTACATGTTCCCCTGAGACAGCATTTTGTCTACTGGATACACTAAGTTAGAAACTGTTTATTCAACTTCTCATGGCCCATTAATGACATAATGTTGGACACAGCTGTTCAGGGCTTCATAAGACCAAAGCAGAGAAAAAAAGCCGGGAGACTTCAAGCACACTGCTCACATATCAGAGCCTGGCTGGGAAAGTCCTTGAAAGGGGTCTAGGGGAATTCAGCCTTACAGCTCTCTTATGAAGTAAATTCAGTGTTAAAGCCTCAAACTTGCACCAGCCACAGGACAACAACAATAAAGGTACACTCCACCTAAATACCACACCCAGAGAACCACCCTGGAAATTTCAGTTTTCTTCATGAAGCTTCTGGAACCACGTCACTATGGAATGGCATGAATCTTGCCTAAGCAAAAGGCAAATCAAGTTTCCCCACTTCCCAGTCATGAAGAAAAGCAGAAAAAGTCCAAGAGAAAGGCTCCAGTTCAAAATAACCTATGTCATTAAATTTACAACACTTTACAATTGAAAATTGGGGCAGGGTACTTAATATTGTTTATATATATACCTGCCTATACATATATATCAGGTAGGAGGAACATGATTTGCAACGCTGAGCTGATTCCTCAGTTTGGCAATACTGCAGACAACTCCATCAGAAAAAGAGGATCACTGGGTAAATTTGTTCCTCCCTCTAATAAGGGCTATCCACAGCAATTGAAACACTCCGTTACCAAACCTGTATAGCTGAAGTTATGCTCAGAGGAAAGACCATCACCCTCCCTCATCTTCCCCAGACCTTTCAGGGTAACCCCTACTTACAATTGTGAAGTTCATAACCTTCAGAATCCAGATGGTCATAGCAAGGTTCACCAGGATTAAAATCATTAGGAGCAGCACAAAGAAATAGAGGCATCTCTTCCTCCAGCCATAAATCCCCACTTTGTATACCTGGGGTCCTTCCGAGGTCTGCATGGTGGTCCGGTGCGCGTACTGTTCCTGAGGCATCTGAAACAATCGCAAAGAAATAACCATGTCTATTAAGCAGCAAGAGAAAGCTGAAAATAAAAAAAGCTTGTGTCTGTGCCTCTTAGAGGGTTTTGGCTTTATTTTCCAGAGTTTACCAGCTGGGCAGCGTCTCTTTCAATATCTTTGTTCTGTATTATTTTTCTTTCTGCTTACTGTATGCAGTAATGTACCAAAGGAGAAGTTTTTGTGTTAAAACTTATATATATATATATAAAAATAGACGTAATCACACTGTCCCAAGGTATCCTATGGAGATCACTCCGGAGTGACTCTGTTCACCACCCCAGGTTTTGCAAGGCAGGCACTCCAGGGCCAATAGGGATCCTGAGAGGAAAATTTTGCATGCGTTTGGTAAAAGCAGTTGAGTTCAGCAGTTTGTTTTGAAGATGCAATATTACTTCTCAGAGGCTTTAATTTAAAAAAAAAAAAATCCCCTCAAATAAAACACTCCTTCCAGTCAAAGAAAAAAGGCAAAGGGGAAATATTTACCTTTATCCCTTCCTGCACCCCAATATTTCTTAACGAAGGAAACCAAAAGCAAAAGGTTCTCCAGCTGCCACACCCTTAACAGATTATCTCCAAGTATCTATGCTGGTTTAACAGGGACCCTGATACCATGATTGGAAATGGATAGGACACAACTGGGGATCAAAATCAAGGAAAGAGGGAAGGAAGGAAAGCTGGTGGTGAGGAAGGCAGAACTGCATTGCAGCGCCCTCCTTACACCCTGGTACCCGGCTGGCTCTGCGCAGTCGGGGGTTCTGGCTGCCCCCACCAAGGATGGAAAGAGACAGCTGCTTTTAAACATCAAACCCCCAGCTGGCACAGGGGTGCAGAACACAGCCATGGCACACCGGCTGCGTGCGCAGGGGGCTGTGATCGGGGAGATATTTTGTGCCGCACAAATAAAAGTATTCATGTTCTCACCCTTCACATTCAGGATGCAGAAAGACACTTTCATGGGCTTACCCCAGGGAGCAGTTTCTTACATTTTCAGACCTTTTTGATGCACAAACTGGGAATATCATCTCATCTCTAATAACACACAGTTTGCTGAACGTTTTGCGTCTTAGACTCCAGACAGATAAGAAACCACTAAATGCATTCTTGCACTACTGATTCAACACCACAGGCTTCTTCCTCAGGCTATCTGGCACTGACGTTTAGATGCAGTGAATTACAAAATTCACATAACGGGAGGAAGCAATGGGAATTCCTCTCTGTGGGACTGTGATCTGTGAGGGCAGAATGAGACAATGGCAGAAATTAGATGCTCATTGAGAGTGGCTTACGTTTGTTTACTATTTTCCTGTTTTTCTTTGTACTTACTTTTTTTTTTCCTAATAGCTTCATACTCCACCATCCAATAAAATACAGCGTGCAGTTGGCAGTGGTGCAAAGCCAACTGCAGGCTGATGCCAGGCGAGTTTCTTCATGGCATAACTTTTATTCCCGTAGCATTGCACCAGGGATGAAGTTAACACTTCATCTTTGCTGCTCCAACGCTGAAGCTCACACATTTGAGGCAACGGCTGCCTGAGAAACCAGTTACTTTTTTTTTTTAACCTTCCACTGCTCCAAAAGTTGTTAAGACCTGGGTTTTCTAATGCAGCCTGGAACCACCACCTGCAGTGCAGGGGATCAGCCAGCTGTCCCTTCTTCCATGAGCTTTCATCTCTCACCCAGGCTGAAACATGGTCTCAGGTGCTAGCGAAATCCATTCAGGCACTAAATTCTGTAAAGATCAGCGCCACCAACACGTCTCCCAGTCTGCACCTATAAGCAAAGCCGACATATTAAGCAAGGCTGTGTTTAGCCAAGGCAGGCTGGCCTGCTCGCACCTCTGCTCTCATCCCAACAGTGACGCTCCTCTGGAGGATGACGGTGCCTCTCTCTCCTGACAGCAACCATACTAAATCCCCCACAGTCAAAATTCACAACAGTGGCTGGAAACAGGATGATTTTAAAAAATAGTAACAAATGAGGTATTCCTATCATTTTCTTCCCAGGTTTCTGAACCATTTTAAAGAATTGTTTCCTCTACGCACTTGAGGGCTATAGTCGACCATGGAGAAAAGGCAGGTAAGACTCCTCTGTCAGTGGGGTGCTGCAAAGGACACCTGCAAGAGGAGACTTTGGGATCAGCGCTGCCCATCCGCAGGCAGCTGCCGGGCTGAGGTCTCTCCTTTCCAGCTACGGCACTGCCTGTGCTCCTTCAACTAAAACTAGAATGAGGCGAGCCTCAGCCAGCCCATCCACTCCTCCAAGCGTCTACTCTTTTTGCCTTTCTCAGCTGGTTTAAATATGGATCTCGCATTCCCCCCCAAAACCATGCCTCATTTACAATCTCAGACTACCCCAGCCCCAGCTGACGCCATGAAGATCTGTGACATCAGTTAGTGCAGTCACATCACCTTGGAAGGAGTCAATAGCTCATGGCAAATAAGTCTGTTCTTAATATGGGTTGGCTCAGCCAGTTCAGCCAACGTGCATTAAAAATACATCATCAAAGAAAGGCGTGTCTGTATTAAAGAGCAGTTTTCGGTTGGGTTAAGTGGGCTCACCGTAAATCCCCTCTGCTGTTCAGACCAGCTACCCTATCTATCTCTACACCGCAAAACCACTCGAAGGCCAGGAAAACCCAGAGCTTTTACCAAGGGGAAGCAAATCAAGTTGGTTACAACAGACCTAAGTTGGTCTGCGCCTGTGTTTTAGCTCACAGATGCCAAGTCAGCAACCGTGGAGGGCTTTTGCAGCACAGAGCTCATCAGAGACCAGAGCTGGGTCACCGAGAGATACACGCACTTGGAGGAAAACAGGCTACAACCACTCTGATCTGTGCAAAGCGAAAACTTAAGCAACAATAAATTACAGAGTTTCCACTACCAGGGGGAAATTATAACCAAGACTACTGTACAGTCAAAGATTTTATTGCCTAATATTTTAACAGGGGATCCTGGAGAGCACGTATTAAATGCAGACTCACCCTTGGAGAAAATGAGTAAATTGCATTTGCTAACCCTCTCAAATCATGGAAGAGCTTTGACCAATAAGAAATAATATGAAATATCCACCTCAAAATATCTCTTTATTGCAAAACATATTTATTCTTTTTTTTCTCTTTCCTGGTCTTTCTCCTTGTTTTCTCCTTTTTTTTTCTTCTTTACTTGCAATCTCTAGGATGGAGAAAATAGCATATCCAGCTGGGGCAAAACTTTGCAGACATCAAAAGAATTTATAGGAATACCACGTAACCACAGAGAGCAACTTACGTCCACACAGCAGACTGACTTTGAGAATTTCTTTGATTCCTATAAAATATTTAGCTCACAACTGTCCTAACAGAGACAGAGCAACTAAAGTCCTCCAACATGCATGTTGAGCATGACTTAGTAATACAACATAAATTTGTAACAAGAAAATAACATGGGAATCGCAGAAAGCATGTTCTTTCTATACAAACTCTCACACGGCTACATTTAAAGCTGTGTATGATTTCTAGCTAGCATTTCCCCCCTGAACTGTGAATACCAAAAGAAAATGCTCTTTTCTGTAGCTCTCCAGGAAAAGAAGACAGAATGATTGAAAGAGTGCACTGAGGTGTGTTAAACAAACAAGTAGAATAAGGCGGCCTGCAAGGCAACTACACGAGGACCCAGCTCTATCCACTATCAATAATCTGCTCTACGTGGGAGGGAAAAGTATACTAGTCATAATTGCCATTTTAGCAACTTCTCCTGACTCAAACATTAAAAAGAACTAGGGCAGAAGAATAAAAAGTATTGCTGTGAAAGGACATCCAGCAGTTGCATTTGCAAGGTACGTCCCTTTAAATTACTGAGTTAAGGGGAAAGGCTGCTAGTTGCTTAATATGATTTTTTTTTTCTTCTTCAGGGAAATATTAGGATCAACCACCTAATTTCCTAACAGCGGTGAAAAGATAATACTGAAACAAATATAGAAACTGGAAAGAGAAGCACTCCTTCCAAAAGTCGAATCTGAAAGTGTCTGCCTACCATGAGGGGGCTTAAAGACACCCATGAGCAGCACTGGGCCACCATCAGTACGTGTACAGTTCCATTTACAATACAAAAAATGCATCATGCCAAATCTTCACAGTTTAGACACAGACAACACTATCATGACTACAACACTATAGTGTGGAACCTGGGTGATTGGGTAATGTCCCAAGGAATTCTTGCTGCTGCAAAAAAAATGGGTAATAACTTTTTGCACAAGACCTGTACCCTGAGTCCTTATACATGAAAACTGCAAGCAGGGCCTGAAACAAAATCCAGTCTGCTTAGAAAAGCTATTCATCCTTTTCCTTTAGCATACCTTAGAGATAACGGTCCATGACAAGAAAGATTTATTTGTTTTTGTAAGGCCACTGGAAGAGTCATATCACCGCATCCTCTGATCTGCACAGGCTGCTCACCGAGTCCTTCTGGCAAAGAAACTTCAACACTTCCCTTCAGTAAAGGTGAAACCAGGCTCAGCTGAAAGGCATCATAAACCAGAACTGGCACTGAGCTTCCAAAAATCACACCAGACCCCACCAGTTCTGGCACGTCTTTACTGTACGCCTCTCTCCCTTCCACCACGTCCTCCTGTCCCGGCAGAAAGCTTCTCACTCAAGGCGTGCAACCCACATGAACTATTCCTCAGGCAGAAGAAGTGTTTTATGTGCACAAGGATGGATAAGCACCTTTTGCTTGCGAACACCGAGGCTGTAACACCCTCTGGCCATGCCGGCTTTGTGGGCTTGGTGAGGGCTGTGAACAGGATGAGGCGTAACAAGAAGAATCAATAACGTTTCTGTGCCACACGGGTTTCTTTGATCAGCACTTAAATGATGTATGTTTAGTAATAGAACAATTTTAAGCTGAAAGGGGATGCAGTCTGGGAAGGTGGCTTCCCTCTTACACGCCCACTTGAAATATGTTGCCGAAAATGCCCCAGAGCTCATCAAAACTGCT